AAAAAAAAAAAAAAAAAAAAAAAAAAAAAAAAAAAAAAAAACAAGGAAGGGGCTCAGGACTCCCCATCATATATTGCAGAGATAGTTCTCCAGTCTCTCGTCATCCTACCTGGCTGGACTGGTGTTCTCAAATCCAGAGTCCTTGGTCCCTTCCCTGAGGACATAAACTGCCATCTGCCTTCTGAGCAAAGCCCAGAACATGTTTCTTACACAGATTCTCTGCCTATTCTCCTTGTTTCCAGTACATTTATCTCTGTGTCTACAGAAACAAGTGGTCTTACTTCCAAGCCTCTCCAGACTTGTTGCTTCTCCATCTGAAGACACTGAAAGGGCCTCTCCTTTCCCATGCAACTAAGACTCAACATTCAGCCACCCACTCACTTTGAATGCACAGCTTAGTCCCAGTCTACCAGAGATGGCATTTATATTTGCCTTTTTTTTTCCTGTTGGGGACTAAACCCAGGTTCACATAGTACTCTCTTCACTGAGTTACACCCCAGCCTTACACTTCCTCCTTTTTTCTCTTTGATAGTGATTTCTTAGAGGAGAAGGGCGGGCAGCAGGGATGCTCTCTACCTGACAGCTTAAATGATAATGGTTATCACTCTGCCTGACAATTCTTCCTCAGCTAACCGTGGGTTCTCCATCGGGATTGGTGATGTCACGCCTGGCCAGGGACTGCTAAAGGCCAAATATGAGCTACTAAATGCTGGCTACAAGAAATGTGATGAATACATTGAAGCCCTGAACACAGGCAAGCTGCAGCAGCAACCAGGCTGCACAGCCGAGGAGACTCTAGAGGTGAGCCTGTCCTCCAGATTAGCATGGTTAATTGTCCTGTTACAGCATGCGAAGAGAAGGTGGCAGAGAAGCAAGAAGGGATGCATTCTTGTCCCATTCCTAGCATGTGTTCTTGTTTGTTTGCAAGGTGAGGCCTTTGCTCTTTTAGCTTTCACCTTCTCTGTTATAAAAACATTTGACAACATGGGGCTGTGCTTTCTGGGGCTGCTCTGACTCCCTCAGAGCCTCTGCCCTCCCTTTTTTTAGTATCTTTCCATAGACACCACACCAAAGCTCAGTGTGTTGATCATTACCATGACTTCAATACAAGACAGGAAATATTCATGTTGGATTGTCTCCCACTCAGCCCACCGCCTTCTCTTGTTTGAAACCACTTGGCTGAGTGCTGAGCTGGCAACACCAAAATCTGTTCCTCTCCTCTAGGAGCCTGAAGTTCCAAAAGCAAATGGACCAGGAGTTGGGGCACTGGACTTTGTTTTGTTCTGTTTCATGACAGTCTCACTCTGTAGCTTAGGTTGGCCACAGATTCAAGGCCTTCTGACCTCAACCTGGAATCCTTGACTTTCAAGTATTTGCTGTTAACCATACCTGGCTTTCTTCTGCCATCTGCATGACCTTTGTCTTGCACTTTTCCCTCACTATAGTATAGAAGATATGCTCTGGAAGCATCAAGTCTTCTCAGCTTGGTCTGCTGGCACACACCTATAATCCCAACCACCTGGAGGATGAGGCAGACGTTCAAAGCCACTGTTTTGTTTCCTCTTCAGATCATATGAATAGTTTGCTAAAGAGGGTTCAAAACCACGTTGGCATGTTTAGTGATATCATGGCTAAAAAGATGGGAAGATGAAGAATTCTTTCTCTTTGTGAGGGTTTTTTTTGAAGCAGGCTTTCTTTTTGTAACACATAGTCTCTAATTCACAATCCTGTCCTGGAAGTCAGCTCCTTTTCAGTCTTCCTGAGTTTTAGACAGTTAAGTAAGAGGAAGCTGTACCCACCTAGAAAATTAATTAAGGCCCCAATAGTACTATGACTTCTGGAGGACTCAGCACCTTAAATTGAGAATTGACACTCACAGGTTAAGGTGTTCCTGGGATCATCTTGTCACAGTCTTTGCTCATACAGATTGAAGGCATGCTTAGTGAGGACAGGTAGAGACAGACTGTACAAGTAGAGTCAGCAGTCCTTAACATGAGCATTGTGCGTTTACAGGGGTGCATCTGCACACGACTCTATGTCTATGTCCGAGTGCTGTCACGGAAATAGCAATACACAAAGCTATAGATACTCTGCCTAATGAACAATTTGAAATTGTTTGGGGATTTTTTTATAATTTGTTATTCACATTCTTTTAGACTCTTGGAGAAGAAAGATTTTTGTGCAACTTGGCCTTTGATTGTCTGAATTCAGGACACTTCATTGATTAGAAATCTGACATCCTGCTGGAATGTTCTTGAAATTTCTATAAATGTCAGATTGAAGGCTAGTGATCTTCCCTCCTCTCCCTCCCCGCAGGCCCTGATCCTGAAGGAGCTGTCTGTGATCAGGGACCACGCTGGCAGTGCCTGCCTCCGAGAGCTGGATAAGAGCAACAGCCCCCTTACCATGGCCCTATGTGGCTCCAAAGGTGAGCTAAGCCCTCTGGGTTGGTTGTTTGTGTGCCCTGCCATTGGCTTGACTATAGAACATGTGTTTCGTGGTTATAATTTCATAGAGGCTTCATTTCTTTAAGTGCCTGTTTCTAAACCATAGAAGACTGAGCTTTTGTTTGATTTGGTTGGGGGCATTTTAAGTGTTTTGGAGAAGCTGGTTGGTAATGTGGCTGGGTTCCTGAGTTTGAAGGTGCTGTGATCAAATTTGGTGTTGAAAAGAAGAAAGCTGGGAATTTTTAGTAATAGATTTAGTGATGTAGCAATTTTTTTTTTTTCTTTTCTTGTGGTGCTGAGATCAAACCCAGGGCCACATGCACATTCCCCTGAGCCCCTTCTTTGGTTCAGTCTCTATTACTGTAGTTCATCCTTCAGTACCCTTGGACTCCTAGACTGTAAGAATAAGGCTTGTGCTGTGTTACATTCTATTTTATCCCTCTGTCCTGCCTGGCTTCTGTTATTGTTTCCAGTATAGTTTTACATTTCCGACCTGTTCACAGGTTCCTTCATTAACATATCACAGATGATCGCATGTGTGGGACAGCAAGCCATCAGTGGCTCCCGGGTACCAGATGGCTTTGAAAACAGATCTTTGCCTCACTTTGAGAAGCATTCAAAGGTAAATAAATGGCAATGGAAGCTTGGAGGTCTGTTTGTCTGGATTGTCCCCTGAATACAGACTTAACCAGGATCTACAGTTATTGGGTTTTATTTTTTTTTTGGTTTTCGAGACAGGGTTTCTCTGTGTAGCTTTGGAGCCTATCCTGGCACTCGCTCTGGGGAACAGGCTGGCCTCAAACTCACAGAGATCCACCTACCTCTCCCTCCCGAGCGCTGGGATTAAAGGCGTGCACCAAAAGCCCAGGACCGTTGGTTATTTTCACTTGGTGTTTACATAGAATGTGTTGCTGTGGCGTTAGTTGCGCTTCATGTCAGCCTTTACCCATTTGAAATGCCTGCTCAGTGACTGTTGCTTTGTCACAGGACCATCATAACCACTACAGTCTATTTTTCATTTTCAGTGGCTCTAACTACAGGTGGTTCTGGCTTGGAGGTAGGTGGGCCTGGCTCACAATAAGGATGGCTTGAAGACTGGCTTTCCAAAGAATGGGTTGGGTGTCCTCAGAGGCTGTTAACACTTCTGGGATAGCAGCTCCAATTTACATTTGCCTCTTCTGAGCCATTTACCTGCACTGATGGTGTGCTGCAAAGATGGTGTGCTGACATTATTTCTCCTTTAGGCAAGGGTGTAGGGCACCTGCCAGTTCCTTTTTTGTGTTTTTGTTTTTGTTTTTTCAAGGCAGGTTCCTTTGTGTGGCTTTGGAGCCTGCCCTGGCACTTGCTCTGTAGACCAGGCTGGCCTCGAACTCACAGAGATCCGCCTACCTCTACTTCCCAAGTGTTGGGATTAAAGGCATGCGCCATCAATGCCCTGCCTACCTGCCAGTTCTTGAGTCACTGGCTAGGTATGTGTGTAGCCCAGGGGACATTTTCTTATGTAGATGTATTTTAGAATTTTGGGCCTTGATTTTCCTTTGTGATTTTCCTTTTTTTCCTATCTCTCTAGCTTCCTGCTGCCAAAGAATTTGTGGCCAACAGCTTTTATTCTGGCTTAACGCCTACTGAGTTTTTCTTTCACACAATGGCTGGTCGAGAGGGTCTTGTTGACACTGCTGTAAAGACTGCTGAAACAGGATACATGCAGGTAATTTGAGGAAGTGTCACTAGCAGTATAGCAACAGTGCTGTGTGAGTGTTAGCCTCACCTGCTCTATGCGTGGTATGTGTGTGTGTGTGTGTGTGTGTGTGTGTGTGTGTGTGCGCGCGCCTATGTGTGTCTGTATGTGCCTGTGTGTGCCTATGTGTGTTTTGTATAAGAGCTGTGCTTTACCCCCATCTTAGTATTGAAGGGGATCATTTAGAAAAGTTGGTGCTCTGGAACTAGAGAAACAAACAAAATAGTAACCCAGCTTAAGTAATCCTATGTACTCTGAAAGGAAGAGACTAGGCCAGAGTCCCAGGTGACTAAGTCCCCTAGAGGGAAATGCTGAGCTTGTACCCTGGAACTTATCATTCAGCCTACCTGAGCTGTTTCCTAGCATGACTGGGGTGTTGAGGTGATAAGTTCCTGCTAGTTACTGAGGTTTTCTACTCTCACCTTGCCACTTTTCCACGACTCCAAGGAATTATAGCTTTAGGGTGACATGACTGGACTGGAGGGTTCGTTGCTACACTTACAAATGGCTTTAAAACTTGACTCTCTGAGTTTCCACTTAGGTTGCAGCAGAGGATTACTTTCCAGACTCCGTGATTGTTTCTACTACCTGATACATCAGTAGCTCTGTGTGTTTCTGTTGCTGGAGGTTCAGCACAGAGCCTCCCTAATGTGAGGCCAGTGGGTTAACTGCTGAGCACAGTTCTAGCTCCAAAAACTGGTTTGTGTTTTTGACTTATTTAT